TGCACTTTTACATGCTTTCGAACTGTTAGGTTGACAGGAGCAGGGACCGAGTGACGGGAGCTCACCCCGTCGCAGGGATTCGAACCGCCGACCTTCTGATCGGCAAGTCCTAGGCTCTGTGGTTTAACCCACAGTGCCACCCGCGTCCCATCAGAATATTAAACACGTGTTTTTTTAAAACAGAATATTAAAAACACGATAAAACATTGAACATTAAAAGCTTCCCTAAACAGGGCTGCCTTCAGATGTCTTCTAAAAGTCAGATAGTTGTTTATTTCTTTGACATATGGTGGGAGAGTGTTCCACACGGCAGGTGCCACCACCGAGAAGACCCTCTGCCTGGTTCCCTGTAATTTTACTTCTCGCAGTGAGGGAACCACCAGAAGGCCCTCGGAGCTGAACGAAGTCTTGATGAGCCGAAAGTTGTTCTGTATGTCCCAAACCTAAGCATTTAGGAACGAAACTCCAGCTGCTTCAGTTTCAAGAGAATGATATGCAAGTTCTGCTACATACAATGGAATTTCATGGAAAACACAACTTAAGTCATTCTGAAAGAAGATACTGGAGCATACCAAATCATTTGCCGCATATGTGCACAGCAATAGATCTAGCTGCAAAGCAACACATGGGGTCTGCATTGGTCATTGCAATGCATTGCTAGTTATTATTATTGTATAATTATAAGATTACCATAGGATAAGCTGTCCTGCCCAGCTTAACTGGGTCAAACCCCTTCACCTTGGGAGAAAAGGTTACCAAACTCTGTTCTCTCTCTTCCACCCTGTAAATCTGACTAGTAAGAAGGTCCAAGCTTAGACCGCATGGCTTAAGCAAGCCATCTTTGTGTTTCTATACAAATGATTTAGAAACATTTACCATTCAGCAGCCTAAGTTATACCGCCTTCCTTTTCTTGCTGCTGTATGGAAAATCACATGAATCTGACCTTTGAAGAGTTGGTAAGTAAATCATTTTAAACTTACCAAACATGTGGTCTCTTTCTATGCTAAGGGAAGTAGGGGGCTTTGGAAGCAACTAAGAAGGGGATATTTTAAAGATCTAACAGCCTATATTTCCTTGCTTTACTTTGCTGCATGTTTGTGATTTTAAATCTCTGCTGGTGCTCTCTCATCAAAGAGTACTTGCCCCAAACCTTGATTTAGGCACCCAGGGAATCCTCCTTTTTAATATATCTAAAGTATTTCCCCTCTAACCGAAACAACAAACAAAATTTTAAATCCAACAGAATTAGATGGTCCCCTGGTCTGATACTAATCCGGAAAGGCTATAATTCAGTGGTTGAGCATCAATCAATCAAAATGTTTATTCGGCTTTATGCCCATCATGAAACACAACACAACAAAACAAATCAAAACAAATCAAATCAAATAAAACAGCGGACACATACAAGCCACAAGTAGTATAACACAGTTCTCAACTCAGAAGGACAGATATTAGCCATTCATAGAAAAGTTTAAGATTAAGATTAAAAAATTTTAGGCACTACACTAAAATCAATATCTGATGTAATTATAGAAAATTCTTATAACTATCAATAATCAGCTAACATTCCATTCCGTCTCTTGTACGAGAGGACGGCTGTTAGGAATTTAGCAACCTGTAGGGTAATATAAGGATCCACATCTTGAAGAACCCAGGCCAGCTGTAGGTCTACTGGTTTGTCAGCCATAGGCTGGATTATGGAGTTTAGTATACTAGCACGGGCTGAACTGTACAAAGGGCAGATAAACATAACATGATGTAGAGATTTAGATGTTTTCATTTCACACGCACACATTGGAGGGACTTGGCCCTTAGTGAATCTATGTCTCAGCACGTTTGTTGGAAAGACATTAAACCTAGCTCTAATGAAGGCATATCGGTGAGACGCGGCCGTAAGCGATGTTAAGTAGGACGGAGCGCGGTAGATAGGGGTTATGCCGAAATTTAACGGCGAGCAGACTCCACCACCAGCTACGAAATTTTGGTATAGCTCCACATCATCCAGCCTTTGATTTATACACCTTTTTGCCACATTTAGATCCAGTTTGAGCAATTCAGTGGGCGAGATCTCATAGGACAGCAATTTGGCATGGATTTTTCCTGACCACAAATTGGTGAAGTCATCTCGCCACATGCATTGAATGAGATAGTGGTTCGGGAGTTTATGCCATAGGGATATCCAATAAATCAAAACTCTCCTCCATATAACTAACTCCACTGAGGGGATCTTCATTTCTAAGCGGATAGCCGCATTACTTACGCATGTTGGTAATTTTAGAAGTCGGCGTAAGAATTGGCTTTGAAGTGACTCTAAAGGTGAGAGATTTGCAAAGGCAGCCCATAAAGGTGCAGCATAGGCCATTGTGGCCATCACTTTGATGCTATACACTTTCAAGGCCGCAGGGATGTATAAGGCCCCCTCAGAGTAGAAAAAACGGAGGAGGGAGTGTGATAGGGCTTTTGTCTTGTTTTGAAGATATTCAACGTGCGCTTTCCACCCTAAATTATATTGAAAATAAATTCCTAAATATTTAAATTTATGTACTTGTTCGATTTTCATGCCCTCCAGTTTCCATGAATAAAGTTTTCGACTCCTTGAAAATATCAGTACTTTGGACTTGGAATGGTTGATAGTCAGATGATTAGAATGGCAATATGTTGCAAAAATCTTTAGTGCCCTCCTTAAACCCACTCTGGAGTAAGAGAGTAGTACCGCATCATCTGCGTAGAGAAGTAAAGGACAGCGGTAATCTGCTATACGAGGGGAGTGGATAAATTTTTGTGAGTCGGCTAATGGGTTCCTCATATCACTGATAAATAAATTAAAAAGAAGAGGCGCTAAAATACAACCCTGGCGTACACCCTTATTTACTGGCACTGGGTTAGTCAGATCTCCAGCAGGGGATAATCTCACCCTGGCCACGGACCCGGCATGAAGTTGGGAGATAAGCCACAATAGCCTTCTATCTATTCCCCAACAGGCAAGTTTATCCCATAGCAATTTCCTCGGAATACTATCAAACACAGCTTTCAGATCTATGAAAGCTGCGCAGAGTTGGCCCCGTCGAGGTGTCGAGTATTTCCGGGCTAAGTGATAAAGAATAATTGCCTGGTCTGTTGTGGATCGGTTTAATCTAAATCCTGCTTGCTCATGTCCAGTCAGGTCAGCCTCAACTGACCACTTCATCAGCCTTGCCAGCAAAAAACGGGCATATATTTTCCCAATGGACGATAGCAGACTGATATTCCGATAATTCCCTGGGTCACCGGGAGGGCCTTTTTTGTAGATAGGAATTATAATGGCCTCCTTCCACATACCTGGTATTAAGCCCGTGGCATTTATTGCGTCGAACGTTTTAGCTAAAATCCCTGCCCACCATGCAGAATGAAGCTTTATAGCCTCAACAGGGACCAAATCTGGCCCAGGGGCCTTACCAGTTTTCAGCTCAGCTATCAATTCTAGGATTTCAGCAGGGTCGGTATTAGGCCAGACGGGAAGGGGATTAGAAGGTCTCCAATGAGTGATTGAGTATCTGTTTTGCTTGCAGGAGGTCCTAGGTTCAGTCCCCAGCATCTCCAGGTAGACTAGGAAAAGGCTCCTTCCTGAAAGTCATTGTCATTGGACAATAGTATGCTAGATTGGCCAATGATCTGACTTTGTATGATGCAGTTTCCTAAGTATATTCCACTGATCCAGCAGAGCTCTACTTATGTTTTTGTATTCTTAAGGCATCATTCGATGCCACTTATGTGTGATAGTCCTCAGCAGCATTTAGGGATTTTTAGGTTTTGGGATTTTTTTTAAAAAAAATAGTTTTATAAGTTGTGCGTCTTTGTTTCTCAACTTGATCCTTTTACATGTAGGTATTGTGGTATTTTATGCATCGCTACTTGCAGTTATTTTTATTGATCATAGTTTAGCGATTATTTATTGTGATTGTTAAGAGTGAATTTCTGTTTAATTATTATTTGCAGGTATTTTGAGAATTGATTTTATTGTGTACTGTTATATTCTAATAGATTATTGAATATTACTTCGTTTGATTTAAGCCGTTCCATTTTAAAGTTATGTTTTATAATGACTTTTTGTATTGGATCAGATTATCATCTGGTGTGTGTTCTTTGTTGCATATTTTGTTGCTGTAAAGCGCCTTGTGCATAGTAATATTGAAAGGTGGTGTGGGAATTAAAAGTGAATTGAAATGAAACAGGAAGTGAGTGTGGTTGCTAGATATGCAGATAAAGTGAGATGAGGGTTGGGGTGAGCACACATTTTTGTTTTTATATATAATTTTTATTAAATTTTCTGTTTTACAATTTACTCATTTTTCATCCTTAAAGGTATAGGGTAAAGGTAAAGGAACCCCTGACCATTAGGTCCAGTCGTGGCCGACTCTGGGGTTGTGGCGCTCATCTCATTTTATTGGCCAAGGGAGCTGGCGTACAGCTTCTGGGTCATGTGGCCAGCATGACTAAGCTGCTTCTGGCGAACCAGAGCAGCACACGGAAGCGCCGTTTACCTTCCTGCCGGAGCGGTACCTATTTATCTACTTGCACTTTGATGTGCTTTCAAACTGCTAGGTTGGCAGGAGCAGGGACCGAGCAACGGGAGCTCACCCCATCACGGGGATTCGAACCACCGACCTTCTGATCAGCAAGTCCTAGGCTCTGTGGTTTAACCCACAGCACCACTGTGTCCCTTTTACATCCTTAAGATATCACTAACTTCCCTTCTTCTCATTCCATGGTTCATGTTACAATCCCTGCATATTTTACAGAAACTATACCATTCAGTATTCCATTATTACATCCATCATAATTTATTTAAACTGTTGAATTTATCTTAACACTGACAGCGTTTTCAGCTGTACACAGTTATTTCCCATGTATTCAATAACGCTTTCCAGTCTTCTCTAAATGTTATGTTCTTCTTGTTGTCTTATTCTATTGAACACACGTTTTTGAACCAACGTCAATGAAATTTCTTTCTTTAATGCAGCTTTCCAAGATGTTCATGTGATGATTTTTGTGGGCTTTGGGTTCCTCATGACATTTCTTCAACGCTACGGTTTTGGGGCTGTCGCCTTCAACTTCCTCCTTGCCGCCTTTGGGATCCAGTGGGCTCTCCTGGTTCAGGGCTGGTTTCATACCTTTGAGAACGGGAAGATACTCATTGGAGTGGAAAGGTAAGTTTGCCCATATGGAACCTGGCTGGGGTGGGTAGGTGGGGGTCCCGTACTTCTTGGCTGGACTATAAGGTTAGTGTGATACACTGATGAAAAGAACTACAGTGGTGCCCCGCAAGACGAATGCCTCGCAAGATGAAAAACTCGCTAGACGAAAGGGTTTTCCGTTTTTTGAGTCGTTCCGCAAGACGAATTTCCCTATGGGCTTGCTTCGCAAGACGAAACGTCTTGCGAGTTCTTGCGAGTTTGTTTCCTTTTTCTTAAAGCCGCTAAGCCGTCAATAGCCGCTAAGCCGCTAAGCCGTTAATAGCCGCTAAGCCGCTAATAGCCGTGCTTCGCAAGACGAAAAAACCGCAAGACGAAGAGACTCGCGGAACGGATTAATTTCGTCTTGCGAGGCACCACTGTAGTTTGTTTATTTGAATGTAAAGATACGCACAGGGAAGGAGGGCTGGCGAGTGAGACGGAATCCTTTCGCCCTATAGGGAACCAGAAAGATATGGAAACTTTTGAGTTTCACAGAATTCTTAATAGGACAAAATGAATGCTTAGAGCATTAAAATATGGCATTAAGAGTCTGAATAGTCAGAAGGTATAAGATGAGCCCGTTGGATCAAGACAATAGCCCAGCTGTTATTTACTATATCTCTGTAGCATACCACCACAGGGTCAGTTAAGTCAGAAATACAGGTCCCTGCCGCAAGGAATCTACACCTTAAAACAGGCAGCGTTCACAACCCGCAGCACCGCATCTGCACATGCACGGGTTGTGATTCGGTGCTTCTGCACATACACAAAGTGCAATTTAGCACTCCTGTGCATGCGCGAGCGCCGAAACCCAGAAGTAACACGTTCTGGTACTTCCAGGTTCGGCGCAGTGTGCATCCCGAAAACGCGTAACCTGAAGCATCTGTAACCCGAGGTATGACTGTATATACACAAATGTGCTTCATTTCTAACTTTCCTCTTCCTCTTCCTCTCAGCATGATTGGTGCAGATTTCTGTGTGGGTTCTGTCTGCATCGCCTTTGGCGCCGTCCTGGGCAAAATCAGTCCTGTGCAGCTGCTGATCATGACATTGTTTCAAGTGACTCTCTTCTCTGTTAATGAATACATCCTACTGGACCTGCTCCATGTAAGGCTATTTAACTTTCTCTCTCTCTCTCTCTCACACACACACACACAGGCTGGATCTAGACACATCCAAGAAGCGTTTCAGTTAAACGCGCTGTAAACTTTGTATGGGAAATCAGGTTGGCAAAAACGGAACTCCACAGCGCCACCTGGTGTCACACTGTTATAATGAATATACAGCACATATGAGGCACTTTTTCTTTGCCAATGTAGCTAAGTCCACAGATACTTACTAGTGCCCGAGTGGTTTCACAATTAATTCTCCTTCCCAGGAAACTTTGGGAAATATAGCTCTGCACACAAGTGGATTTAGGGCAGCGCGACTGGTTCGCCCAGACTGGGCGCCAAGCCTGCAGAGACGTTGTAACAATGACAAACAAAGGAAGGTGAGAGGCCGGGGGAGGCACCAAATTTTGGTATTGCATAGGGCGCCCCTGAAATCTGAAAGCCCAAAGTCCGCTGCTCTGTAAGGAGAATAGGTCTCAGGGACTGGGCAGAGGATGAATGGTGGAGACCGCCTCCCCATCCTGACCCTTCTAGGGAGGAGGAAGAGGAAGACAGTACAGATTTACAACAAGCGATTGAGGGAGGTCTCAACTCAGAGGCAGATGAGGGGGAAAGTTGGGAAATCAGGGGAGTGGAGGAGAAGGCAGGGCCGAAGCAGCAGCTGGCTGACATGTTATCACTAGAAAGCATTCCAGACCCACCATCTCCCAGAACCTGGCGAGACTTAGAAGTAGGAGAGCAAAGAGCTCAAAGACAGAGGGCATTTATCAATACCCGTAGAGGAGATGACGAATGAAGAAGTAGGAGTGGAGGGGGAGAAGGGGAGTGGAGATTTACTCAGGACCACGCCGTTATCCAAGAGGCTGTGTTCTGTAAAGTATGGAATAAAAAAGGACTGTATGAAACGTTTCCTTGTCTTTATACTTTCCTGGGCAACCAGCCGGGAGCCGCTGACAGCATCCTGACAATAGGGGATTTCTTTCCAACTCTCAGCCCTCTTAACCAGCAACATTTCCCAGGATCCTTTGGGGGAAGCTATGACTGTGTATGATACTGCTTTAAATGTATAGTGCAGATGGAGCAGAGCGACTTCCCACCTGTGTGGGAAGGGGAGGGATGAAAGGAAAACTGCTTGAGGGACAGAACCAAACTGGACAGAACGCCACTCATGGGATTAGCAATTGCACAATAGTAGTTGTTTTAAAGGGTGAGTGGGCACAGGCCTTCCCCAATCTAGATCAGGTGTCTGGCAAAAAAAAAAAAATGGTGGAGGGGGTGTTGGGGAGCTTTATCCGCAGGTCTCTTATCCAACACACACAAAAACCTGGAGTCAGTCCTGGGCTTTGTGGAATGTGATTGCACAAGTAGGTCAATGGTGTGTAAAGGCCCCCAGAGGAAGACATTCCTCAGACCATCAGATAGAGGAATTGGACTGTGCCCTGAGGGAGGCAAGCTCAAAAATAGATTTTTTTGGTCACTGTGTGGGATGCAAGGACAGCCTTGGGCTTCACTCACCAATGTTGCAAGTGCTGGGAAATATTACTTGTTTGCCAAATTCATGTCAGTTGCACCAAATAATATTACAATGAATTGACTCCATAAACGGAAAGCCAGATTAGTTTCCTATATTTTCCCGCATGACATTCTTCTTTTATCAGCTCCAAAAAGCTGTTTTTGTGTGCCAAGCTCAGAACCAAACTGGACAGAACACCACTCATGGGATTAGCAATTGCACAAATAGTAGTTGTTTTAAAGCAGGGGCCAGCAACCTTTTCCAGCCGTGGGCTGGTCCACCTTCCCTCAGACCATGTGGTGGGCCGGACTATATTTGGGGGTGGGGGTGGGGAAATGAACGAATTCCTATGCCCCACAACTAACCCAGAGATGCATTTTAAATAAAAGCACACGTTCTACTCATGTAAAAACACCAGGCAGTTCCCACAAATAACCCAGAGATACATTTTAAATAAAAGGACCCATACTACTCATGTAAAAACACGCTGATTCCTGGACCGTCCGAGGGCCGGATTTAGAAGGCGATTGGGCCACATCCGGCCCACAGGCCTTAGGTTGCCTACCCCTGTTTTAAAGGGTGAGTGAGCACAGGCCTCCCTCAATCTAGATCTGGACTCTGGCATAAAAAGGGGGGTGTTGGGGAGCTTTAAGCCTGTGGTCCTGAGGTTTGGAAGGGTGCCTTGACTACATTGGAGAAAAGCTTCCACTGTTGCCAAGATTCGCCACATTCACACCATATGTTTTACATACCACTCAACTGCCCCGATTTAATGGGAACATCCCATTTTGGGGCTCTGTGCTCTCACGTGAGAGCATGGCACCTGAAAACACGTGGGATCGCGATATCTCATGAGATCACGGAGCCCCAAAATGTGAGGGTTTTTTGGCTGTGTACTCTTGCACAGGACGTGGGTGGCGCTGTGGTCTAAACCACAGAGCCTAGGGCTTGCTGATCAGAAGGTCAGCGGTTCGAATCCCCACAATGGGGTGAGCTCCCATTGCTCAATCCCTGCTCCTGCCAACCTAGCAGTTCGAAAGCACAGTGCAAGTAGATAAATAGGTACTGCTCCGGCGGGAAGGTAAATGGTGTTTCCATGCGCTGCTCTGGTTCAACAGAAGCAGCTTAGTCATGCTGGCCACATGACCCAGAAGCTGTACGCTGGCTCCCTCGGCCAATAAAGCTAGATGAGCGCCGCAACCCCAGAGTCGTCCGCGACTGGACCTAACAGTCAGGGGTCCCTTTACCTTTATTCTTGCACTGGTCACGTGACTCACCTGGGATCACAGCCTGCATCCCAGTTTTTTGCCTGAACATGTTGGAGGGCATGCATTTAAAACACCACACATTTAAAACACTTTTAACAGTCATGGCTTCTCCCAAATAATCCTGGGAGCTGTAGTTTGGTAAGGGTTCTGAGAGTTTTTAGGAGGCCCTTATTCCCCTCACAGAAATATAGTTCCCAGAGTTCTCTGTGAAGAGGGATTGGATTGTTAGACCACTCTGAGAATTGTTGCTCTGTGAGGGGATTTTCTCATTGAGGTCTAGCTGCTTGTGGGACAGTCATGGAGACCCTCCCGTTCCTTCCCAAGACTGACCCTTGTTCTCTCCCATCACTGCAGGTTAAAGATGCTGGTGGATCCATGACCATTCACACATTTGGCGCTTACTTTGGGCTAGTGGTGACCGCCATTTTGTATCGGCCCAACTTGGAGCAGACCAAAGATAAGCAGGGTTCTGTCTACCACTCAGATCTCTTCTCTATGATTGGTAAGATTTGCCTTTGGTTTATGATGCTTTCTGCCTTCAGCTTGCTTAGGGAAGATCGGCCCCAGTTGCTAATGAGAAGAATGTCCCTTCTCTCCATCCTTAATCCTGCCAAAGTAGCTCAGAGACTGATAATGGTTACTGGCAAGGCTTGAGTCTTATATTTTAACACTTGGGGACCACTCACTGGTGGCAAAGAAGAACTGCAGCCCAAAATTCATGTTACAACGAATGAATGGGTCATGAACCCAAGTAAAATTGGATTTGTGGGTTGACATACTGAAAAGGTTGAGAACCACTGATCTAGATGCTTCTGTTGATCTGATGTTGCAAGTTAGTTCTTCCCTCCTCCTCCTCCTCCTCCAGGCACCTTATTTCTATGGATGTACTGGCCCAGTTTCAACTCTGCCATTTCTGATCATGGAGATGCCCAACACCGAGCTGCCATCAACACCTATTGCTCTCTGGCGGCCTGTGTCCTCACGACTGTGGCCTTCTCGAGCTTGTTGCAGAAGAAAGGCAAGCTGAACATGGTGAGCAAAGACTGACGATCTTCACATTGCCACCACTAGCATGGGGTACATAAGTACGCTCCCTTCTTTGCTCCTTGTGTTTTGTGGGCTCATAGGAACTGTAGGGAGATGCACACCCACACACGCCTCTGGCAGGTAATTATTTTGGGGGGAGTTACAGAGAAATTAAAGGTTTCCAAAATTCTTGGGTGTAGTGGCTTCAAACCACTTTTCCAAGGACCGTCAATGGTCATTATGGAAGAGCAGTGGGGGGGAATGCTAACATTTTCCGCTAAATTTTGAAGAGGCAAGCCACTATTCAGTGTGCCATTTAACTGAGAAGGCTTATCTCTTCAGCCATGCAGCTGGCACCAGTGGAAAATAAAGAATGGAAGGATAATCAATGGAACCATGTAGACAGAATTGGGTTCTGGAGAGCAAGAGGAGGAGGGTCACTTTCCCTTGATAAGAGTATAGCCTACTGAATGCAGGAAACTCCTTTATAATGAGACCGTCTATAGTTCATTATTGTCTGCTCAGACTGTCAACAACTCTCCAAGGATTCAGAGATAGGTCTTTCTAATCCTGAGATTATTTCAGTGCAGATGTAGGGCAAGATCACCAAGCTTTTGAAGCTGGTGGGGCAAATCCCATGGGCACCAGTCCCTACCATGTTTGTCCACAGAGAGAACCTCTTTGCATGTCTCCTCTTTTCAGACAGGAAGCGAGGGTAGGTAGGTGCCTAATCCTGGTATCCAATGAAATCTGGATATTTCTGAGGAGGCGTGTTCAGCCTAGGAGGGGCTGAGCAGGAACTGAGCAGGAAGAGCAAACAACCTCTCATATTTATTGAAAAATATTTATGGAGACCTTTCATAGGTGCTATTGTGGCAATGTTGTAAATACTAGGAGAGGATATATTGATTTCATGGTGTCCTTCCTAAATCATGCTTGTGAGTCAGCAGCAGAGCGACATTCCCCAATATATAGCAGGAAGGTAGTTGGTAAATTCGTTTGAACCTCTTTACTTAAGCAATCCAATCTGGCTTTGTTCAGATTGGGTTCTGTTCCTGGTGAGTCCCCTTTTACCCCTCCTAAAAAGAATAAAGACACAAGAAGCTTCTTTTAAAAGTAATAAGAAGTTTACTCACATTCAGTTCACAGGTGGATCCCTGAAGGCAGCCTTTAGCTTATAGTTACAGATACAGTGTGGCTTACATCCTTGTAAGGATGGGCCCATGTGCTGCTGGCAGAGAGCCAGCAGTGCAGTCCAAGAGAAGAAAAGGCATCAAAAGAGGAGGATGGCTGCGTGGCTGGACCTTTTGTAGGGTCTGCCCGGGTCATGTCCACCTCCCTGGTCACATGCAAGGAGAGGATGCTCCAGACCAGGTGGGACAGGAAGTTCAGCTGGCTGGTTCAACATCCCCCTGTCTGTGTCCACTCTAGGCAAACAAGGGATGTTGTATTTGACTGCTCCAATGGACTACATCCCACAGCCATAACCGGTAGGGGCAGCATATCTGTCCCTTCCAACTCTACAATTATTTGATTCTGTGACTTTGATTCTAATGCCTGATAGGGAACTGAACTCTACAAAGCTGGAGAACAAACATGTGTTCTGCCATTGAGCTACAGCCCTTCTCACCTTCCTTGGGTAGCCAAGGTGGTACCCCTCCAGACATGGTTCCAACTGCAGCCTCCATCATCCCTGATCCTTAACTATACTGGCTGGGTCTGATGGGAGTTGGCTAGCCCTGATGCAAGGCTTGGAATTCTGTTACTTAAGCTGCTCAGAATCCTCCGCATGACATGCTCATTGAGCAGTCATTCTGATTTGCTTGAAGAAAGCTCATGGGGTTAGATTATCATATCTGGTGTTGACTGAGCTTTCATTCTTATTCATTTCCTGGTAGGCTATATATGACAATGACCATTCATCCTGATTTGCTTCTGCTGTGTTTACATCCTGTGAATCATTGGTTCATCATACACTTTTCAACGCATTCCCCCAACACTTTCCTAACCACAAAAGTTGTTGTTGCTGTTATTTTCTTGAGGTCACCAAAGCACTTTAATCCACTTCAACTGCACAAAGCTCAGTTTCTCAGTGTGCACTTGAACCCACCTCCTACTGACAGTCTGGGCACACCTCAGTTTATTTATTTATTCTATTTAACAACATTTATGTGTCACTTACTAGAACAGGGATACCTCCCAGGGATTTACAATATGCGATCTAAAATGGTGATTTTTTAAAACATAAAAACAAACATAAGAAATCAAGTTATATAAAAGAAATTAAAATATAAAATGAAACCGTTATCATAGAATTGTAAAGATAGAAGGGACCCTGAGGATCATCTAGTCTGAACACCTGCAATGCAGGAATATGCAGCCGTCCCATATGGGGATCAAACCTGCAACCTTAATAATAATCACTTATCCTAATTAAAACCACATGTCCAGACACACCAGCATTTTAGCAGGCACTGAAAACAATTCAGTGAGGGTGGCTGTCGAAGATCCATGGACTGCGAAGGCTCCAATCTCAGCTGCAATGAGTGCAAAACAAACAATATGTGCAATCATAGGTAAACACAGGGTAATAGCTAATTAAATTTTAGTCAGGGTAGACCCATTGAAATTAATGTCTAGGCCCATTAATTTCAAGGGGGTCTGTTCTGAGTAAAAACCAGCTGAAGATAACCTGCAAATGTCCAGGAGCAAAGTGCTAGCAAACAGCAGGGGCAACTGACAAGAGGAGGTAGATGCCATGAAAGAAGAAGGGCAGGGGCTTGGCAAATGAGTTGGGAAGGTTTGGTTGGCTTCCAACAGTTTATAGAAGAGTGATGGAAGAAGACAACACCACAGGACTCCAGAAAGGGTGGCGACAGAAGGAGAATAAGGCAAAGCACACACACTTTAAAGCCAAACTTGGCCCCCCAGATGTTTTGAGACTACAATTCCCATCATCCCTGACCACTGGTCCTGTTAGCTAGGGGTGATGGGAGTTGTAGTCCCAAAACATCTGGAGGGCCAAGTTTGGCTGTGCCTACTTTAAAGCATGTTCCTTCCCTCAAAGAATTCTGGGCCTTGTAATTTTCTTTTTAATTGCCAGGAATTGTACCTACGAGGGGTAAAGTACAGGGCCCAGGATTCTCTGAGGGGTAAAAGGTGCTCTGATTGTACTTCAGAAGTATAAATGTACACAGCCTAAGATTGTATGGACCAGCATGTGAGAGATAAGGGATGTGAGTTTCACTTCCATCCTTTGTAAAACAGAGATGGGGAACCCATGGTCTTCTAGATGTTGCTGGACTCCAGCTCCCATCAGCCCCAGCCAGCAGTGGACAACCTTCAGGGATGATGGGAGTTGGAGTCCAAAATGTGTGAAGGGCACCACCCCTGGCCTAACTGCACCTCAGTAAACAGGAAGCCTTGTGCTGTAAATGGTGGTCCTTAAGGTTCTTCCATGAACACAGCTAGACGGTCAGGGTATAAATAATAAAACTGTTGTTGAATTTGCTGTTTTGTGCAGGTCCACATCCAGAATGCCACCCTGGCAGGGGGCGTTGCTGTGGGGACTGCGGCAGAAATGATGCTCACCGCATATGGCTCCCTCATTGTTGGCTTTATCTGTGGCATTGTGTCTACCGTTGGGTTTGTCTACTTCACGGTAAGGGCACCTCTTTTTAGAAAATATTAGATCTAGCTTCAAGGCAACACATGGAGATCTGCATTGATCATTGCAATGAGGAAGCACCAGCTTCTCCAGCTGGTTGAGGGGGTGCAATACAATTTCTCAAATAGCTAAGGCGGAGCCAAATGTCCTCTGAAAATTGAGGGGGCCCGGCCCCCTCAAAAATGCATTGGGGGGCAAAACTACCTCGGCCCCTACAAATCGGCTCCAATGTTGCAATGCACCCCTTATTATTATTGCACAATTTTCAGATTATTGTATATGTTTAGAAGCTTGTGTGGCCGGCACTTTCTTGATCTCCTGCCTTCAGGCAGAAGATATAGAAGCATGATTAGTCGCACCAACAGGGTAAAGAACAGCTTCTATCCATGGGCTGTTAGGCTGCTGAATGAAAAGATAACAACAGGGCAACTGACTTTCGGGTTTGGTGTGTGTGTGTCTGTAAACAAGGAGAATTAAGACTAAGAGAGCTGAGTGGGGGGTGCTCGCGTAATCTCGCTGTATACAAGTTGTACAAGTGACAATAAAGTATTTCAAATTTCAAATATTAATTGTAGAAGGGGTGTGGCTGTGAGGGGGCATAGCTGTGACTATCATGAAAGGACCCTGCACTTCCGAATATGCCACTATATTGTGAAATGTCCCACAAGTGACACGATCCTTTGGTCCTACATGCTTTATGGCAGCTTTTCAACTGTACTTGTGGATTGGGAATCTCCAATATTCTGCCCTCCGTAGATCTATAATATGTACCAGAGTCCTCGGCAATGCATGTGAAATATACTCGGAATTGAGAGTGGATTTCATGCTCTTTATTCAGCTCATAGTGGTAAGGAGGAATGAAAGTTCCCCCAAAATATCTGCTTTATATACATTATTTACACAATAGGCTGCACGTGATTGGCTAATTCCGGGATTCTCCTATAGGTCAATCAGGTTGTGGATTCACTTCCACCTGGAGCTGGATTGGGTGGCTCCTGCGGACCAATCATACTGCTGCATTGTTCTAGGACCAATCAGACTCCTGCATTCTGAATCCTATTGTTCTAGGACCAATCAGATGGGGCCTATTTCTCCCTCCACTATGTTTATATCTTGGCTTCCTTTCTTGGAGCTCAAGGCAGAATACATGGCTCTCCTCCCCCTCTATTTGATTCTCACAACAAGCCTGCGAAGTTGGTTAGGCTGAGAGATCCCAAGTCCCGCGGTGAGCTACTTCGCCAAGTGGAGATCTGAACCTGGGTTTCCTTGTGCCTAACCTCTACCCTGCACTAGGCACGGAGAACCCAGATGTTGTTGGACTACATCTCCCATCAGTCCTGGCCAGAATGACCAATGGTGAAGGATGATGGGAGCTGCAGTCCAATAACAGCTGGGGGGGGGGGACGACAGGTACGGCTCCCTATGTAGCCAGAACAGCACCTTCACCACAAGCAGGTGGTACTGGTAGGCTTGAGGGACCCTCGAGGTTTGCTGAAGCACAACATTACAGTGGTACCTCTGGTTACGTACTTAATTTGTTCCGGAGGTCTGTTCTTAACCTGAAACTGTTCTTAACCTGAAGCACCACTTTAGCTAATGGGGCCTCCCACTGCTGCCATGCCACCACAGTGCAATTTCTGTTCTCATCCTGAAGCAAAGTTCTTAACCCGAGGTACTATTTTCTGGGTTAAGGTAAAGGGACCCCTGACCATTAGGTCCAGTCATGACCGACTCTGGGGTTGCGGCGCTCATCTTGCTTTATTGGCCAAGGGAGCCGGCGTACATCTTCCGGGTCATGTGGCCAGCATGACTAAGCTGCTTCTGGCGAACCAGAGCAGTGCATGGAAACACCGTTTACCTTCCTGCCAGAGCGGTACCTATTTATCTACTTGCACTTTGCCGTGCTTTCGAACTGGTAGATTGGCAGGAGCAGGGACCGAGCAAAGGGAGCTCACCCCGTCAAGGGGATTTGAACCGCCGACCTTCTGATCGGCAAGTCCTAGGGTCTGTAGTTTAACCACCCGCGTTCCTATTTCTGGGTTAGTGGAGTCTGTAACCTGAAGCGTCTGTAACCCGAGGTACCACTGTATTATTATTTTTTTTAAAAAAGACAAGCATCCTGAGGTAGAAACAGCTGACTGAACAGTGACTGGCTGACTGTTTGGGAACAGAAAACCAGTGTTGTGGTGGCAGCCATGGAATGGAGTATTCTAGAAGTGGGTCACGGCTGAACATGAGCACCCCGCATTGCAACACTGTGTTTCAGGTTCTGCTTCTAAATGCCTTGTTCTCCCCTCATGCCTGCCAGCCTTTCCTGGAGTCCAAACTGCGTATTCAAGACACATGCGGTATCCACAACCTACATGGGATGCCAGGACTTATTGGGGGAATTGTGGGGGCCGTCACGGCTGCTGCTGCGACTGAAGGAGTCTATGGGAAGGAAGGGTGAGCATCTCTGAAGGGTGGTGTGTTTTGTTTGGGGTGGGGGATGAAGGAGATATAGAACTTGACTCTATGGCGGCAATTCACCTGCATTTTTATTTTTATTTTAATGCCTGTTACTTAGCAGAAGCTGGAAGACCTTTTTCAACTCAAGAGCCACATTCCATTCAGGGTAATCTTCCTGAATACTAGTGGTGGGTGGGGCCAGAGGCAAATGTGGGCGGAGTAACAAATGCAAATTTCACCCTAGTACAGCAGGTTACTTTTCGACGCACACTCACCTCTCTTATTCCCCCCTCCTGAGATGCAAAGAGGCATTATTGTTCAGTTGTTCCGCCTGGCCTTTGGCTTGGAATCAACTTGATCCCCTCCCCCTCTTTCCTTTTTCCTTTCTCCTTCTGTGATGGAACTCCTATTTGGGGACTTCCCTGGCTTTTTTCTGGCCCACACAGGACCGGTTTGGATAGTTGGCCTTGGTGAAGACTTGACGTTTTCATCCCCCCAAAAGTTTTTGATTTGAGTTTCTACTGAAATGAGGCTGCATTTTATTATTGTATTTTAATCTTGTTTTTAAGTTGTATTTTAATCAATTATTTTTATACCTGGTGTTAGCCACCCTGAGCCCAGTCTTGGCTGGGGTAAGGTAAAGGTAAAGGGACCCCTCGTGGCCGACTCTGGGGTTGCGGCACTCATCTCGCTTTATTGGCTTCCGGGTCATGTGGCCAGCATGAGTAAGCCGCTTCTGGCGAACCAGAGCAGCACACAGAAACCCCATTTACCTTCCCACCGGAGTGGTACCTATTTATCTACTTGCACTTTGACGTGCTTTCGAACTGCTAGGTTGGCGGGAGCAGGGACCGAGCAACAGGAGCTCACCCCATTGCGGGGATTTGAACTGCCGACCTTCTGATTGTCCTAGGCTCTGTGGTTTAACCCACAGTGCCACCCGTGTCCCCTTGGCTGGGGAGGGTGGGATATAAATTATTATTATTATTATTATTATTAGTTCAGGGTGCAGTTCAGCAAAGTCGAAACATTCTGGGTGCAAAGCAGGGCTGGTATGGGGCGTGGCACAAGGGCCTGGCAAAAAGGCCAAATGGGATTTCCGAGCCCTGACTGAAGTGTAACCGTATTGTCGTGTGTTAAAGAAAAGCTCACAATTCTGAGGAAAGTATGGGCTTTGCTCTGGCAAAACAGTGATGCTTCTGAAAGGACTTTGTGTTGCTCTCTCTGAACACGTGGGAAAGCCTGACTCGCCTTCCCTTCCCCTGTTGCTTCCCTTCCATGCAGGCTCATCCGTGCTTTTGACTTCACGGGAGACTTCAGCCACAGAACGCCCAGCGTCCAAGGCGGCTTCCAGGCAGCTGGCATCGCTGTATCATTGGGCATGGCCTTGGCAGGAGGGCCATCGTAGGTGTGTGGTAGAACCACAGCTTTGCATGCTGACGGCCCAGGGTTCAATTCTTGACATCTGCAATGAGAAGAATCAGGAAGCGAGTGGTGGGAAGGACCCCTCTTCCTAAGACTCTGGAGAATGCCAGTCATGATTGAGTCCAAGTGTTCCTTTCCATTTTGACTCAGAATTCAGGCTGTGTGTCGCTTTAGTCTTTTTGTCCCTTTTTGATCTGCCAGACAGGAATGCACCTTTATTATTATTATTATTATTATTATTATTATTATTTACTCCCCAGCCACCCTGGGCGGCTCCCAGCAGAATATTAAAAGCACAATAAAACACCAAACATTAAAAACCTCCCTAAACAGGGCTGCCTTCAGATGTCTTCTAAAAGTCAGATAGTTGTCTATTGCCTTGACATCTGATGGGAGGGTGTTCCACAGGGTGGGTGCCACTACCGAGGAGGCCCTCTGCCTGGTTCCCTGTAGCTTCACTTCTCGCAATGAGGGAACCACCAAAAGGCCCTCAGAGCTGGACCTCAATGTCCGGGCTGGATGATGGGGGTGGAGACGTTCCTTCAGGCATACTGAGCCGAGGGCATTTAGGGCTTTAAAGGTCAGCACCAACACTTTGAATTGTGCCCAGAAATGTATTGGGAGCCAGTGTAGGTCTTTCAGGACCGGTGTTATATGGTCTTTGTTTTATGTGACTGACCCAAGGAGCCCAGGTTGTGTTAAGTCATCTCAGGCTTTGATCTGGGCCTACAATGGCAAATGTCCTTCTGCTTTCTTGGTATTGAAAGTCCAGCCTGCACCATCATCCTGAGTGAGTTCTTTGCCGTTTTTTCCCCAGCAACTGCCTACAATTTTAGCCTCATGGTTCTTTGTGGTGTTTCACTACTGCCCTCTTGTGGCATGTTGGGGTATGATTTTTTTTTTAAAAAAACCTATTTGCAATGTTTCCAATAATTCAGTTTACTGTTACCTGTCACACTTCAAACAGTCTTGGGCCCAAAATTAGTTTCTTGAAGAGTTTCTCATCTCATGATCACTTTTTTTTTTTTGCAGTTTTGACAGATAGACACATTTTGGCAAGCAATATATCCCCTAATAAAATACATTTTATTTCCACTCATATATTCAGTTCTATCTATCCCCCTAGTATGTTTTCTATGTTTGTAAACATTAATTGAAAAACTGCACCGCCAAATTCAGGTAACTGCAAATCCTGAAAGGTGGCTGCATTTCAATTCAGGTGTGCCTTTAAATGAAGCAACAATCAAACTGAATCAAATTTCTGCTACATCCCTGATTCCTAGTTGGCCTGTCCCACCAAACTGCAGCCAGGGGCCTAATGAAAAACCATATTGCCCTGAGGTGTGTGTCATATTGCTTTAATTATTTTTAACTGCTTTCATTGCCATGCTTTTTAACTGGGTCTTTCTTTTATTTTTTAATTAAAGCTGTTTTCACAATCCATGCATTTTAATTACACAGTTGTTAACCACTTAGAAGCCATTTTGGCACAGAAGCGGTACATAAATTAAATAAAAAATAAAAATAATAGCATGAACTCCGTGCTCTGTTATCTTTCCTTCAGGTGGCATTTTGAAACTGCCTTTCTTTGGAGACCCTACAGATGAAAACTGCTTTGAGGATAATGTTTACTGGGAAGTAAGTGATTTAGACCTCTAGGTTCAGGCACCTGAAGGATCCTGTCTTTGCAGAGTTTGATTCAGCTGACTTGATCCACAACTCTAAAGTACAGTGGTGCCTCGCAAGACGAAATTAATCCGTTCCGCGAGTCTCTTCGTCTTGCGGTTTTTTCGTCTTGCGAAGCACGGCTATTAGCGGCTTAGCGGCTATTAACGGCTTAGCGGCTTTAAGAAAAAGGAAACAAACTCGCAAGAACTCGCAAGACGTTTCGTCTTGCGAAGCAAGCCCAAAGGGAAATTCGTCTTGCGGAACGACTCAAAAAACGGAAAACTCTTTCGTCTAGCGAGTTATTCGTCTTGCGAGGCATTCGTCTTGCGGGGCACCACTGTATGGAATAATCTTTTGTCTTGCTGAGTATTTGGAACATAGGGCATCTAGCCCAGGCTGGGGAAAGCTGTAACTCTCCAGATGTTGCTGGATTCAAACTCCCATCAGTCCCAGCCAACCTGGCCAGTAACCAGGGATAATGGAATTTGTAGTCCAACAAAATCTGGAGGCCCATCTTTGATGTAATGCAAGTCACATCTTATCTGGAGCAATGCTAGATTATGCAACAGGCAGATTTAGCACGTGCTCCTGCTAAACCACTGCCCCTAAACTGGGCCAGCTGGTTATTATAAGAACAACTGTTTGGAAATTGGTGCCTGAATTTTAATTTTAATTTTAATTTTCCTCTTCCCTCCCTGTTCCTTTTTCTTTGCGTGTTGTGGTAGGGACTGTCTTGCTTTCATTATACGTAAGCCACTCTGGGAGCCATTTGTGGTTAAACAGTGGGATAAGAACTAAATAAATTTGCTCCGATACAAAATTCTCCCTTTACCAAAAGTATGACCAAACTCAGTCCATATTGCAGGTTATCCAGTAAACAAAACTGAATAAATATGTAGATTGTTGTTCATATTCTCCATTCTTATCCATACTAACAACAACTACAATTCTAGGCCAGACCATATTGGGTTGGACCAGCCTTTTCACAAGCTTTTGCCTTCCAGATGTTTTTAGGACTACAACTCCCATCACCCTCAGTTGTGCTGACTGGGACTGATGGGAGTTGTAGTCCAAGACATCTAAGGCTTGTGTGGACTCTTTGGTGAGGAAAGTAAAGCAAGCCTCCTTAAGCCACAAGATGGTGCTGTTCCCTGTCACATGAGGGCTTCATTGTGTAACAGTTTTGTTTTGTTTTCCCTCTTTGTGCGTCTTCCGGGCCTCTCCTTTCTCCAGGGCCATAAAACTACAGATAACCATGATAAATAAATAAGTTGGGACCTAACAGATGTTTTCGCCTTATCAGGTACCTGGGGATGAAGAGAGCAGCCTGTATTGTATGAACGACTCAAACGCGAAGCCTGTGACAGACCCTTAATCCACTGGAGTCGATGCCAATGGTAAAATGGGACCCCTGGTTTTGGGACAAATGAATCTTGACAATTTCAGATTTTTCGAGACTTGAGTTCAGTTCACCTGCAGGAAATTTTATGTGTGTGTTTTTATCCAGGTCTCTCCTAGTATACATAACCTGTACACAATCTCACCTAGTTCCACCTTGCACACACAATCTCAACTGATCTCGCCTAACAGTTTGGGGCCAGTTTACATGAAAGTTTACCTTACCCATATATATTCACTCAGCCCCTTCAATCTGCAGAACTGACACCATTACAAATGCCACATAATGCTTTCCCCTCATTTGTAGTAAACTGATATTTTAGTGTGACAGAACCTGCACTTCGGAAGTGCCTTCAATGTGCTCTCTTTGGTGACTGCTAAAAACCATTTTTCTTTAGGCAAGTGTGTCCAGGCATGGAGAACATTGACATGTGTTCTAGTCTGACTTTTTAGCTTATCGTTGGTTTTAATTGTTTTAAAAAGGTTTTAATTAGTTCTTTATAACTGCGTGAATTTCTCCTAATGCACACTTTTTTTGCCTAATGGACTCATTTTTGCAAATCAGTTTCCCCCAGTGCTTTTTTCCTTAAAAAAAAAAAGGTTTGGGGGTACTCTCATTTTCCTACTCATATTGAAATACTGCCCCTCAATGAGGCCAAACTTTTGATTCACAAAATGTTTAGGGGTATGCGTACACCTGTGTCCCCCCAGAAAAATCCCACTGGTTTTCCCTAATATAATGCATTTCCATGCATACGTCACCCTAGTATATGCAAATCAAATTAAACCCTTGTTGTTTAAGCCAATGACCAGCATTTTTATGCCTTTCTGTACACATTACTTTGAGATCTACCTTGAAAAATTCAGATAATTTCAAAGGATGGCTGTGTTTCTGTTTTTGTATTGTTTTGGAAAGAGAGAATGATAAATGCAAACTTAATGGAATTTCTCCCCTGTCTTTACACATGAGCCTCTCATTTTCTTTTCTTATAGGACAATGCAGACAACCAGATCAGTATAATCAGCTTCTCCTTTTGGAATTCCTTGAGCGGTTTTTGTTTTGTTTTGTTTTGTTTAATCTCCTACACTCTCAAGTACACAAGAAGGTTGTGGTTTTCTGGAAGCTGTAACATTTGCTACCATCATTTGTCTGGATGCAAAGATTCTTCATGGAATAGATTGTGCCCTTATTATTATTTCTCTTCCTGCATCTTGCACCATCGTGAGGTTAGCCTGGAAGAAAGAGTGTTTACATCCTCCTGCTACCATGCAAAGACAAGTGGAAATCTATAATATCATGTGGTTAGAAGTGGCAGCAAAGTTCCCCCAAGTTCAGGACTTGGATACGAGTTGCAGAGCATGTGAAAGATCACCTAAAACGAAGAAGTCAGCTTTGCAAGCCCCAAATGTATTCACCGTCTCAGTTTGAAATCTCAGCCGGAAAATTACTGGCCTCCCCTGCTTTTCCACAACAGGGTGCCTAGAGCAGAAATGGTATGAGCAGAAGAAAGAAGAGGGGAAGAATATTGTCCTTTCCTTCTCTCCCTCCCTCATCATCCAGGCATTCTGCATCGTTAGGCAGCAAAGCTTGAAAAATGATGGAATATGTAGCTATCCTAAAAGTGGCTTGTAATGCATTTTCCCGAACTATCAGATGGGCTTGGGATGTCCCCTCTGATTCCCCCCCTGTCCCTTTTTTCTGGGAAATTCCCAAGCTGGAGCTGATCTGAGAAGAGCTTGCAATGCTGTGTTTTGGCCCCTTTTATATTCCTCAGATTGGTCTGAGATTCTCTGCTTCCATCCCCCGCCCCCTAGGAAGCTTCTGAGCCAGAGGCAATCTGGAAGAGAGCTTTCGAATGCCCTCTCATCTCTAAGTGCGCGGTGGACCCACTCGTGGTGGCAGTGTCTAGGGTCAGGGAGACCAAAATGCTCAAGGCTCCGAAAGCCAGCATGTGATTAGCGTGCTGAAAGATCTGTGATAACTCAGCTGGAGAAGGGGAGACTTGAAACGCGTGCTGTCGAAATCCCTCCTGTTGGAATCAGTGGATATTAAAAGCGCTTAATGCTAGACTGTACCCTCAAATTTGTTTTTCCTTCTTTTCCTTCTAATAACCAGCAAAGGCACTACCTTTAGCTCAGTGGCACAGCATCTGCCTTGCGCGCAGATGGTTGCAGGTTCAGTTCCCAATGGCTTCTCCAAATAGGGCTGCCAACGCGCAGTCAGAGGCATAAATGCTTCTGAATGCCAGTTGCTGGAAGCCACAGGAGCAGAGAGGCTTTTATGCGCTTGGGTCCTGCTAGGATGCTGAACTAGATGGGCCATTGGCCTGATCCAGCGGGTTCTCCTTATGTCCTTATGGTTGGGAGAGAACCTTGTTTGAATCCCTGCAAAGAGCTGCAGGATGGAATTCACCTGCCAGAGACCTTTGGAAAAGGGGACAATGTGTAGCTGTTTATTTACTAATTCTTGAAGCCTCTGAGCCAAGATGGGGGGAAATGGAGTGCTTTACTGTAAACTAAGAACATAGATGTAGTGGACACAGGAGAAACCTGATGGTATGGAGAGAACCACTGGAATGTTTTTTCCTGGTTCCAAGCTCTATAGAAAGGCAGGGAGTGTCACACTGGGGGAACTTTAGCACAGTATGTTAGAGAGAGCATGGAGTTCATTGAACTATATTTGTTTCTAAGCCAATGCTAGTCCTATTCAGAGTATTCCCACTGAAATTAATGAATGCAAGTTCCTAATTTCAATGGGTCTATATTGGATATCACACATTGCTACCCTGCTCTTTAGCTACAAAAAGAGGCACCCAGAGCAGCTTGCAGAGATGATTCTTTTAAGACAGCTCCTTCCATCAGGTTTAAATATAACAGACATAACACAAAAGGAAAAGGGATTGGGAGGGAGGAGGAAAATCATTGATGACTACACAATGCCAGGTGTCTCAGGGACGGCCGCCGAGTTGGAAGCCAGCACCAGAGCTCTGTGCTGCTGAAGGAAGCATAACACTCAAAAGAAAAATAAAGGCCACTTAACCATGGTGCTGCTTGGATTTTGGGAGCTCCCTGGCCTGGGTGGGTTCCTCTGGGATGGATGGGGCCCCAGACTGGCACCCACTAGTCCAGCCCTAACAACACCTTGGTGGTAGGTGATAACAAGCCTGAAAAGTATACGTTATACTTGAGAGAAACTGTTGCCGTCCTGGCAAAATAGTGAGGATGATCTTGAGATAGAGAAATCAGGGTGGCATCTAGAGAAGAAGTGTTTTAGTAATGCAACTTCAGTTATCGCTACATAGACTTATTTCACAGGCTGTTTCCAGTAAGGTGGATTTGGGGCAACAGACAAGGGAGTGTTTGGAGCTAGGAAACAGGCAAGGGGAGGCGATGCTTATAAGAAGTGGAGTGGGAAAGGAGACCAGATGCAAAAGAGAGAGGGGAAAGTGGCTGTTCTTCGCTGCGTCTGCATGTACTTCTCACACCTGAGGAGAGAGAGAGGGAGTTGAAAGTCAGCTGTGCATGTCCCCTTAGGATACAACACCCTCATTTCTCCTGCTGGATAAAGCCACACACACACACCTCTTTACAACACGGTCCTGGGATTTGTCAACTGCTGCCAGCAACCGCATCTTAATTAACTGTCGGCAAAGATGGAAGCAAAGAGACCCTGTTCTAATTGGACAGTTTGCTTTGTGAGGATGGGGAGGGGAGGTGGCAGCACAGGCGACAAGTTCCCACCGCATGGCATGGGAATTGGAGATGAAGGTGATCCGGCATGCTGTGATCAGCCAGGACGGTCTGGCTTCAGTTGACCTGAGGTAACTTTTCTTTAAGGGTGTAACAGTCAAGAAACTGCCTACATCCCTGGCTCGCAGTTAATTTTGGCTGCATGGCAGCTATAGCATGGAAGAGATGCCGTAAGGCCCTGTCTGCACTATACATTTAAAAGCCATATCATGCCACTTTAGAAAGTCATAAAAGTAAAGGGACCCCTGACCATTAGGTCCAGTCGTGACTGACTCTGGGGTTGCGGCGCTCATCTCATTTTATTGGCTGAGGGAGCCAGTGTACAGCTTCCGGGTCATGTGGCCAGCATAACTAAGCCGCTTCTGGCGAACCAGAGCAGCGCATGGAAATGCCGTTTACCTTCCCACCAGAGCGGTACCTATTTATCTACTTGCACTTTGACGTGCTTTCGAACTGCTAGGTTGGCAGGAGCAGGGACCGAGCCACGGGAGCTCACCCTGTCGTGGGGATTCAAACCGCCGACCTTCTGATCGGCAAGCCCTAGGCTCTGTGCTTTAACCCACAGCGCCACCCGCGTCCCCTTAGAAAGTCATAGCTTCCCCCAAAGACTCCTGGGAAGTGTAGTTATAAGGGAATAGAATCAAGGGATGGTTTGCTTGCTGAACTGCTTGCCCTCAGGTATCAAAGTTGGTCGCTTGGCTCCTAAGTCTTACCTGAATTTTGCGATGCTGTTCTCCAACCAAGTGATGTTTATCAGGAGAAGCCGCTTGCAAAAAGAAAGTGTGCATTGGCCAAAGCTGCGCAATAAAAAAGCAATGTCACATCTTTCCCAGAGGCATTCTGGGAAGTGTGGACAGTGGGAAGCAGAGTGAGACTATTTACACAGGCTGGACTTCCTCAGAAGAAGCAACCACATCCTCCACACAGATCAAAATGAATGCCTCCACTTCCCCAGGAACAAAAGTTGATTCCTGTTTCTTTTGCAGGTGGGGACCATACTTTGGGTAACTGGAGAGGGAATATTGGCTCAGCCTTATACAAAAGGGTATCTTTCCTCCACTCTTTCCTGGTATGGTCAGTGCTTTAAAGTTCTGTATCCAGGTGCCTTTTTGTTTCCTCCAGAGCTTTCTCCATGAAAAACCTGCTCTTTAAAGCTCAGTTGGAGCAAACAGCAAAAACCCGAGTTGACATTTGCTCCGATTGAGCGCTAAAGAGCAGGTTTTCATGGAGAAAGCTCTGGGGCTTGGACAGGACACTGAGCTTTTAAGCGCAGATCTGTGCCTGGAAAGGGATGTGTGGATGAACTCTCAGCTTTGCTTACTGAATTGAGGAGAAAATCAGTGCCTGGTGATTTTTTTCAGTTAGGAAATGTGCCTCCGGCTAATTGGGGACTTTACCTCTGTCATCTCTGGAGGATGAATGCCGGGCAGTTCAACAACGCATTCTTAATCAGCCTTGGGTTGCCCTCACAATTTTCAGTTAATAAACCTCAGAAAGTGGATGCATGAATGTGGCCTTGGATCTGGACTCTGCTAAGGCAAGAAAGGGCCAGCCAATTTGTTCTAAAATTTTACTAGCCAAGGAACTAGCCCCCCTCCACACCAGGGAGCTCATGAACCCCTGTGTGTGCTCACTACAGTGGTTAAGTACTTAATTCATTCCGGATGTCCGTTCTTAACCTGAAACTGTTCTTAACCTGAGGTGCCACTTTAGCTAATGGGGCCTCCTGCTGCTGCCGTGCCACCTGTGCACGATTTCTGTTCTGTTCTCCTCCTGAAGCAAAGTTCTTAACCCAAGGTAATATTTCTGGGTTAGCGGAGTCTGTAACCTGAAGCGTATGTAACCTGAAGTGCATGTAACCCGAGGTACCACTGTATCAGCGAGGAAACTAACACAGAGAAAATAGAGTGTTAAGCCATGTATGCACATATTTAAAGCCCTATTATAACACTTTTAGCAGTCAGGGCACCCCCCCCCCAATATTCCAGGAACTGCAGTGTGTTAATGGTGCTGAGATTTGTTAAGAGACCCCTGTTCCCCTCAGAGAGCTACAGTTATCAGAGAGGTTTAACAACCAATCCCTTTCCCCAGGGAAGAGGGGCTTCTTAACAAATTTCAGCACTCTTTAAAAACTACAATTCCCAAGATTCTTTGGGGGAAGCCATGACTGTTTAAAGTGGTATGATACTGCTTGGGATATATAGTGCTACCAGGGCCTTTAATTTCAATGGGTCTACTCTGAGTAGGACTGGTGTTTAATAGCACTTACTGCATACCCCTCAACTGTCCCAGGATAACCGGGACATCCCATTTTTTTCACATGTCGCTGTTTCTTTGACAGTGGCTCCAATAAAGCAATGATGGGGGACTTGCGCTCCAGAATATTGTTGAACTCCAACTCCCATCAGCCCTGGCTAGCATGACCAAAGGTCAGAGATGATGGGAGTGGTAGTCCAGCAACATCCTGAAGGCCACAGGTTCCCAACATCTTCCTAATACAGCAGTGCTGTATTCACAATGAACTCTTATTTCCCTTTCCGCTCTTTCTGCCTCATTTCCATCTGTAATTTGACCGCCGCCCTTTACAGGGTTTAGAATGTAAATTTGGTTCAAACCTGCCTCTCCTCTGCTTCCTGTCCCCACACGAACAACATTATGCCCTGTTTGCTTTTAAAGGATTTTATCAGCTGGCCTACTCAAAGGCCAGGAGAGGTCAGTGGTCAAAAGGTTGGACAAGCCACGTTGGTTTAACAATGTTGCTGAGTTGTTTCTCACCAAAGGGGAGACATTAGAGCAGAGGTTTATTATGAACCCATCATGCCTTTGCACATTCTCTCTCTCTCTCTCTCTCTCTCTCTGTGTGTGTGTGTGTGTGTGTGTGTAAGAGAGAGAGAAAGACAAAAAAGCACTACTATTTTCTGTTCTGATCCACAATCTGGGCAG